AGCCCCGGGGCCAGCAGCAAGGTGCCCGGCCGGCAGAACCGGCCCTGCCGTGGCCAGCAGCGCCGGGAACGCTTCCAGGTTTAAAAAAAACCACCCAAAATTTAAAAAAAAAAAAGGTTTCAAGCCAACGCTGGTGTCTCAGCCAGGCTTGGCTTCGGCTGGGGTCCAAACCGGCTGCGGGTTCCCCTCCCGGCCCTGCCAGGCTGGCTCAGCCCCAGCTTTTCAGGCTGAAACTTCCCACCGGGAAAGAAATGCCCCCGTTTCGCCAGGATTCCCCGCGAAGGCTTCGCCTGGCACGGGCGGATGCGCTGCCTGGATGCGGGCACGCAGGGCTGGGCCGTCGCCGGCCTCGCCGTGCTTGCCAACGGGGCCTGCGACCCAGAGGCTTCGTTAAAGACGCCGCGGGAGAATGAGGTGGCCCTGCAGAGGAGCCGCCAGCCCACGCTGCCGTTTCAAGCTGCTCTTATTTCACCCGCCCTCCGAAGCAAGGCCTGTGCTGTTTTTCCTGAGTTCACAGCGCACACCAGGCTGCTCCGGGGGTTTTAGCTGAGCTCCAGGGCCAGGCGAGGCGGGACGTGACAGTGGGACAAGCTGCTGAGATGAGGCAGGAGCTCGGCACGTGGCCCTGCATCCCTCCGGCACCCGTGGCGGGTATTTGAGCGGGGGACTCGGCTTCTGTGCCGCTGCGTGTGTGCTTCATGTGGCCGCAGTCTGCTCCAAGCCCCGAATGCAAACCCAAAGACAAACAGGTCCGGTCGAAGTGGGGCCACCGGGGCCGTGGGCAGGTGGGTACGCGTTCCCCGTCAGCAGATGTTGCAGTCAGGTGGCACAAGCCAGCCACGAGCTGCTCTTCCCGTGCCACAGGGGCAGGAGGGCAGCAGGAACGACCCGCAGATCCAGCTGGTTTTACACACAAAAGCTTTTTCCTTCCACCCCCCCCAATCTTTCCCCGTTCCCAGTGGGTGCTGGGGCTGCAGCTGGGGCACACAGCAGCGCGTTGCCACGAAGATGATGGGAGAAATCACCCGCCGGGAGGGATGGGCAGGGTGCAAGCAGCGCTGCCCACAGGGGCTTTATTTGGCAGCGAGAGCCAGAGGGGATCGGCACGGAGTTATGGCAGATGCTTTGGCTTGTGCGCACCGGGATGGAGCAGCCACGCAAGTACTTCTTGCAATAAGGAGCCGGCACAGCAAACGTAGCAAACGTGAGGGTTTCCTGGGCTGGAAGGAAAATTCCTGCGACCCAAAGGGCGTGTGGGATCAGGCCCGAGCCGTGGTGGCGGAACTGCGACGCGTACAGCGGGGCCCGGACGTGCGATGGCAGCAACGAGCCGCGGCCGCGGAGGCGTGACGCCGCTGCAGCTGAGCACAGCTCGCCATTGTTTTGTGCAAAAAAAAAAAAATCAAAGTTTGGGCTTATTTCGTTCCAAACTTCTCCCCGCACCGCCCGTGAGACGGGGAGGTTTCCGGCTGATTTTTCCTACAGCATCTTTTCCTAAATGCTCCCTTTGTTTATTTTTTCTGATGGTTTCATAGCTTTTTTTGCTAATTATTTTGCTATTTCATGGCCCTGCTTTCCCCTGGCCTGGCGGGAGGTGGGGGTGAAGGGTGCCTCACCCACCGTGGCGCGGCGGGAGGAGACCCTCGGAAGGCAGGAGCAGCTCCCGGCTCCCTCCCAGCTCCCCAGGCCGCGGCCGGAGCTTCCCGGCCCCCGCAGAACAAAGCACCCCATTGTGCAGGGGAAACGGGAAGGAAAGCGTGACGGGCGGCCAGAGCCGTGCCGGGAGGGTGTTTCGGCAGGGACCAGGCACCCACGGCCTCGCAGAGGGGTCGCCCACCGCCTGTGCAGCACCCGTGGCCGCTGACCCCCTTTCCAGGCGGCTCCATGCCAGCCCCGGAGCTCGGCCGTGGCGCTGGGTCCGGCCCGGCTGTGGGAGGCAGCTCATGTCCAGCCATCCCGGATTTTCCCACATGCCCCCTTATTTTTTTTTTTGTCACACGTGATGGCATGGGCGAGCGGAGGTTTCCTTCCACCGAGCTCGTTCGGAAGGCGCTTGCTGCAAATGCCAGCCTCAAATGCAGCTGCTTGCTGGAAGGGGGCTCCAAAAATAGGCTGGCGGGATCCGTGTCTGGCAGGGCTCCGTGGCTCCTGGAAACATGTTTTCCTCCTGGGGGAAAAAGAGGGAAAAAATAAAATCAGGATGCCTTTGCTAACAGCTGGTCCTAAAAATGAGTCAGGAATTTGCACTGTGGCGATACAGCCCGGCATTGCCGAGCCCAGGGTTTGCGCGTCCCCGTGGGCTGGCTGGGGACGCGGGGACACCGAGCGTGTCCCCATCGCCCACCCGGCTGCGCGCATGCAAACACGCGCCGAGTCGCTTTGTTGGGTGATGGCGGAGATTTTTCGGGGCTGTCGCTTGGATTAGCGAGGCACCGGCACTGTCACGGCGAGGAGGAGGAGGGTGAGGGGGATAAAGGTCCTGGCACTCGCCGGGCTCGCAACAAAACAAAGCACCAGATGGTTTCAACTTCGGCATAATACGCGGTGAAAAAGTGTTTGAACCGGGGATGAAAAAGCAAATGCGGAAAGGGAGAGAGAAAGAAAAGAAAGAAAAACCCTCAGCAAGTGTCAGAGCAGAAGAAAGCATCGGAGAAAAATGGCAAATGTTAAAAACCAAAACAAAAAGACCTCCCTCGGCACAAAGCTGTGGCTGCTAACATCTGTCCAGCCAAGCTCTCGCCAAGGCCCCTTTCCTTTAAAAAGTCACCTTTCCTCACCTCCGTCGTCGCAGGGACACGGCCCTGTCCCTGGGCAGGGCTTTGCTCGACGCTGGGGGACCCGCTCGGCTCTGCCACGTCCCCGGCGCTGGCACCGGGGCAGCCGGCAGCGAGGTGCCGAGCGGGCGCTCTCGGGCAGCAGAGCTACCCCAGCTGCCGCAGCGGGCTAAATATTTTATCACGCTTTTTAGCTCACATGTGGTGTCCCGGGTGTCCCCGGCACAGCCAGCGGGACCGCGTGGCGCCTCTGCTGCAGGATCTCGTGGGGTTTTAAGCCTGGTTTGCTATCGAAGCAAGGCTTATGCAACCCGCTGCGCGTCTGTACATCTGGCTGCGAGGCTGTTGTGTTTCCCTTGCTCCTCCCCCATAAATATTTTGACCCTGCAGACCAATTTCAGAGTCTTCTTAAAAAAGGGAAGAGGGCTTCAAAGTTATTACGTCCTTAGCATTTTCACAAAAAAAGCAGCAAAATAAACCCATGCAATTGTGCAAGAGCAAATTGCAGTGTGAGCTGAACCCCTTATTAGCCACCAGAGAATCCACAAGCCACAAGCCTTGGGGACCGCCGGCTCCCTGCCGCTCAGCCTGTGCCTGCTGGCGCTGAGCTCCAGCCTCTAATGAGGGCTGCCGAGGTTTAAGTGAGGGTTTGAGTTTTGCTGGTGCCCACGGGTGGTGCGTCAGCGCCCCGGAGCCCCCCGCGGGATGGCCCATGGGGCAGGGGGTTGTCCCCGGCTGTGCCCCCCCCAAAGCGAGTGGGGGACACAGGCGGGTTGGTGTGCCGAGCCACCACGGGTGCTGGGGTGAGCGGAAGGGCTGGGTGCCACGTGTCGCATCACGGTGAGACAAGGAGACCCGGGGGGATGCCGACCCCGCAGGCCCCGGGATGGCAGGGAGCCGGGGTGCCATGTCCCCAGGGTGGGGGACAGTGGGGTGACATGGTGCTGTGGCCTTCAGGCATGGGGCAGCCCAGGTGATGTGCCATTGTTTTTTGGGACAATGAGGCACTGCAGGGCCATGTCCCCAGGGGTGCAGGACAGTGGGGAGCTGGGGTGATGCCACTTTGGGGTGCAGGATGGTAGGAACCGAGGGGATGCCACCCTGGGGTGCAGCAGGATGGTGGGAAGCAAGGCGATGCCACCCGGGGGACAGGACAGTGAGGAGCCGGGGTGATGCCACCCTGGGGTGCAGGATGGTGGGAACAGAGGGGATACCACCCTGGGGTGCGGGACACCGGGGAGCAGGGGTGATGCCACCCTGGGGTGCAGGATGGTGGGAATCAAGGTGATGCCACCCTGGGGTGCAGCAGGATGGTGGGAAGCAAGGCGATGCCACCCGGGGGACAGGACAGTGAGGAGCCGGGGTGATGCCACCCTGGGGTGCAGGATGGTGGGAAC